AGTTTGTATATCCATTTAAAGCATATTGTTCTTTCACATTCAGGCCCATCGATAAGAATCCAAGTGTGATTCCTCTCTAGTGAATTTTTTTTTCATCAGAAGCCCCTCTCCATTTCTTTCCATGTCTACTACGAATAGCTTCTCTGAAGGTTAATGGTCCATCTTCTTCCACCAGTAAGACACTACCAGAGCATAAGCTCCAACATCTCCATCATCAAATCTGCTTGGAGGTCGTATGTTTCTCTTCTGCCTATGTCTGACCAGCATATAGTTCTTTAGATTTTCTGGTGATTCTTCCCTTTCTTACTCACTTTCAGATTCTTCTTTATGTTCACCATAATAGGCAACTCCACTTCTTGAAGAACTTCCTGTCTTAGTATTACTTTCAGTATATGTTGGTAGAATAAATGTTACTTGTTTCTTTACCTTCTCTTGAAGAATAGGAACCTGAGTGCTCGTATCAATATCCTTGTACACCATACTTTCATAGAAACTAACATTCTTGCTCACAATGCATTTCTTCTCTTCAATGCTCCAGATCTTGTAATCTTTCACTCCTTGAGGATACCTGATAAAAACTTTCTTCTTAGCTCTAGGTTTTAGCTTACCCTGATCAACATGATAAATACCAGAAATCCAAACCTTCTCGTGTGATCATACTCGGGTGCCTTTCCTGATCAAACTTCCTCCACAACCTTTAAGTCTAATGGAATAGACGGAGTTATGTTTATCATATACACCACAGTCAATGAAGCTTTTTCCCAAAAACTATTAGTTAAGAATGTTTCACTTAACAGACTCCTGACCTTCTCTAGGATCGTCCTATTTAACCTATCAGCAACTCCATTATGCTGCGGAGTATAAGCACCTATTTTGTGGCTTATAATACCTTTGCTTTTTCAAAAGCCATCAAACATTTTGTTACAGTACTCCAAGCCATTGTATGTTCTTATCGCCTTTAGAGTTTTTCCACTTTGGTTTTTGACCAAAATTAACCACTCAGAGAACTTAGAAAAAGCTTCATATTTTGTCTTCAAGAAGTAAATCCATCCCTTCCACGGATAATCATCAACAAAAGAGATGTAGACTGACATTTAGATAGGCTTGGAGTGACATTAAATGAACCCCATAAGTCATAACGAATGTAAGCCTATGGTTCGTTGGAGTTACGCTTTCTAGTCTTGAATGACAACTTATGGAATTTTCTGAGGATACAATGCTCACAATTCTTTAACTCCAATATCCACTCCTTTGAGGAAACCATACTTGACCAAGCACTGCATTCCCTTGATACTCATATGTCCTATATGACTGTGCCACAAAAAAAGTGTTATCCAACTCATCTACCGCATAATTAACTTCTCCTTTAACCGGAGCACCATCTAGGAAATATATAGAGTGTCTTTATAATCAGCTGCCAGACCTCAGTGTCATATTTGAAAAACCTACAACTTGCAGTCTCTTGATTGAAACCAACATCCCAGAGTTTCCAGCCGTCCTAGAGAAATTAGGTTGTTTCTTGCAGTTTCACAATACCTAACACTAGTTAATACAACTTCCGTCGTGTTGTAGTTCACTATCTTTACTTTCCCAACAGCTGAGACTTCACATAACGTATCATTCCCCACCAAGATCTTCCCACCATTCACTTCTTTAACATCAAAACATTAAATCCTTCCTGAAAGTCATGTGATAAGAGCAATATGAATCCAAGACCCAACCTTCTCGGTTTAACTGACTAGAAGAAGTCAACATAACCGGCTCAGTGTCTTGAGCCTTACCAACACTTGCTTCTGCCTTCATGGTATTGTTGTGATGGTTTCTTTTAGGATACTCTCGTTTACAATGACCTTCAGAACCACAGATCGAAGAACTCTTCTTAAACTTAGGTCATGAATTGCTTCTGTTCTTAGATATAACCTTTGATATGGTATTATTTTCAGGTCTTCCTCTTGCTTGAAAATAAAGACCTTCGTTGCTAGTACCAGAAGACCCATGGCTGCCTTTAGCTTTCATGTCCAACTGATTAGAGAAATCAGCTCTTGTAATCCCCTTTAGCGAGATAGTATCCTCGTCTCTTCCATACTTCAAGGTATGAACTAATGGCTCAAACCTTCTAGGAAAGCTATTTAGGAGTATGATAGTTTCATCTTTCTCACTCAGCTCAACAGCAAGGCTTTCCAGATCAGACACCAGCTTGGCGAAGATATCCATATTCTTATCTAGGTTCTTATTGTCATCCATTTTGTTACTATAAAACCTCTACTTCAAATAGAATCCATTAGACATGAAATTGATCTGATATGTGGACTGTACAGCTGTCCACATTTCAATTGCAGTCTTAGATTTAATTACCTTTCAAAGCACCATATGTCACTAGGACTCATACTAAACAAGTTTCTAACCCTCCTATCCTTATTAAGCCTCTTAAAATCCAGTTTACCCTTAACATCCTGATCATCTTCAACAACACCTTTACCTTTAGGATCCATCACCTGAGGTTGTACCACTGAGTCTAACCCGAGTATCTCCAGCTGAGCTAGCCCCTTTTGTTTCCTTAAAGCAACATCACCTTCTCCATCTAACTTCTCCACCTCAAACCTTCCTCGTGTAGGTTCCATGATAAGTGATCACAATCTTGATCAGAACCTGGAATCACATAGTAATAGAAAACCCACAGAAATACATAGTAACCCATAAAACCATAGAACCAGTAGAAATCCATATCGCAACAGAAAACCAAAAATATTCAGTTCTATTGATGGTGACCCTAAACACAGAACTAAGCAGTAATAGATTCTTTAACTGATCAGATGTATGAGAGAAAACCTGGATCACCTCATATCTGAACATGTCTGAGCCGTAACCTCGCTCTCATAGCACTTGTAGTGGATTATAGTTTTTAAGATCAGTTTCTAGTCCATTCTTTATCTTGAGTTGATTATGGTTTGTGTATGGTTGCATAATAAAGAGATAACACAAAGACTAGAGTTTCCAAGGATGTTAACTAATCCATGGTATATGTCTTGGGAGAAAGAAAACAGATTACAAGCTTCCAAATCACTCACCAAACCCACACATCTCACCAATACCTCACGTCACTCACACAAAAGATTGAGAACAGCGTACACAATGAACAAGATGATCACACACCCAATTCCTCACGTGTTTCTCTGACCCTCTCGGAACCTTTGATGATTATAACTTCTCCCGAGGTTAGATTCCTCATTTCCTTTCTCCTCTTATACTAGTAGAGATTTCTTTTGATTCCTTAGCAACTTCTATGCCATCTCATGTCATTTCAACGGACTGCACATGGTTTGTTCCCTTGAACTTTGTAAGCACACATAAGTGTACCTGATCAAAACGTTGAGTATAAGATTTTGGGCTTCTCTGCTTGACTCCTGCTTCTCATGGGCCTCGACACAAACCACTCGGCCCACATTTCAGTCTTACAGCCCAGAACCTGGAATTGTTAATAAATACATGACATTAAAGATTCAAACCAAATATATATGCATGTATTTTTTGATAAAACTAATATATGTATATATATTGTTCGATGTTATTAGGTAAAAGTTATGATGTTTTGAGTTTTATCGAGAGGATATTATATTAGATAAACACGAAACAAAGTTATCTTCTTTTATTAGCGGATATAATTCTCTGCAAAAAATAATCTTTAAAAATCACTTATTTTGTTAACTCATTTTTGGTATTTTGTATGTATAAATGAATTGTATATGTCCTTTCTGATACCTAAGTTTGAAATCAGTATATTAAATAAATGTTACAACATCAAAAATCATAGAGATCTATACTATTATTTGTGAAGTGATTTTCGCATAGGAACTCTCACGTTAAAAGTTATAGCATGTAAAGTCGTTGTTACCCTTAGTGAATAAGTATATAAATTATCCAAAAGGAATAAAAATGAATTCAAAATTTATTTATTTAGATAAGTGATTGAAATTAACAATAATAAGAATTATCCAAAATCTTAAAATATATATTAAAATAAAAGGATAATTCCTATATATATATATATATATATATTGTGTTGTTGTCCTAAGAATATCTTTTAATAAAAAATATAAATAAAAAACAGAACCATAACTAAATATTATTCATCTAAAATTCTTAATTTAATATAACTGAAATAGAATATTGAGTGATTTCTAAAATTTATTTATTAATAGTGAATATAATGTTCAAAAATATAATATAAGAATTTTCAAATGAAAACGTAAATGCATGTATTATTAAATAATTATAAAAAATTTATTCCCGCATGAGTGGAAACAACACCTAATTTGATATATGATGAGAACCATCTCGAATTTGGAAGAAATAATTAAATCAATTATAATAGAAAAGGTTTAATCAATTAATATGATTGTGCAAGAAAATAGCTCATATCCGGAAAAAAATCTATAAAAATGGCTTAAAAATATCCAACAAATCTATTTTGTCATAAAAAACTGAAGAGAGTTATCCATCAGAAAATAATCACTAGTTTTTAGCAATTATTTGGTTGTCTAATTTGTTTTTTGGTATTAGTGTTGTTTTCTTGGAGTGTGATCATTCAATTTATATAACCTTTACGACCAATATTTTCTTTAATCAACTTATTCTTAACTTCCTAGAGGGGATTAGCATAACCAAAATTAGGTACAGTATTAAAATATTAATGGTGGATTATCATAAAGTTAAAAAATATTCTGAAGGTTCCTCTATTCTGTTTCTTCTTCCATTAAAAAGCTGACAGCAACGTGTTGACAAAAAAAAAGAAAAACAAAAAGACAGCAACGTAGATATACAACGCGTTATCATAACAAATCCTGGCCGTTCATCTCACCACGTGTACGTCACGACGTGGTAACAGGAGAAGAAAAATGACTCGGCTCCAGAAAATCTCTAATTCGATACTTTTTCTTTCTCAGCAAAAAGAAATCATCAGATCTGTCTCGAAAGAACGTTCAGGGAATCAGCTTTGAGCCATGGAGAAACCGTACGGATACGCAAGCGTGGGCATGAGCGGCGTCGATCGCGCCGGCGGGAAGGATATTGATTTGGAGATGGGAGTGGGTGAGGCGACGCTTTACCCAGGGCTAAGCTACGGCGAGAATCAACTCCGATGGGGCTTCATCCGCAAGGTCTACGGGATTCTCTCGGCTCAGCTTCTCCTCACAACGCTTATCTCCGCCGTCGTTGTCCTCAATCCTCCGGTTAACGATGTCTTGACCGGATCTCCAGGCCTTCTTCTCTTCCTCTGCATCATCCCCTTCGTCTGTACGTTATTTTCCTCTAGATCTCGGTTTGATTTGTTATTTAGGATTCGTAAGGTTGAGGTTACAGATGGTGCTCTTCTTGAATGCATGTGCTCGCTTGTATGATTCAGTTTCACTATGCGTAATCTTTATTGGTTTCTTAGGTTTTGCGATTCTAATGGTTAAAGTGTGAATTGGCAGATTGATACTTATAGGTATGTGTGTGAGTGTGATGTTCTGTAGCAGCTGAACACGTTTGTCACCCTATGAAAACTTATAAGCTGCCTTGTCCTCTATGCTTTTTCACCCATTTGGTGTTGTTCTGCTTGAGGGTTTTTAGTTTCTTTCTGGGTGGTTGGTTCTCTTGTTGGTTTTTAGTAAATGTTGGTATATACAGGATATGTTTGGTCCAGCACGAAACTTTTTTCATTCATGTTGATGAGCACAATATATTAACATATTCATTGACTGGGAGGTGAATGTTTGCAGTGATCTGGCCTCTGCATGTTTACCACCAGAAGCATCCTGTTAACCTGATCCTCCTTGCCCTCTTCACCATCTCTTTGAGTTTCACTGTTGGTGTCAGTTGTGCTATGACCGAAGGTTCAAATTTTGTTCCATTTAATATCATATGTCATTGTCAAACAACACATTTGTCCGACAACTTGAAATTAGAAAGTGTTAATAGTCATATAGTTCAATTACAAACTCTCTTTTATTCCGTCCACCCACGTGTTTTACAGGAAGAATCGTCCTTGAAGCCTTGATATTGACACTGTCCGTGGTTGGGTCTCTAACCGCATATACTTTCTGGGCTGCAAAGAAGGGAAAAGACTTCAGCTTCCTTGGACCCATTCTCTTCACCAGCCTCATCATTCTTGTAGTGACCAGCTTCATGCAGGTCTGTCTCTATGGAATAAAACTAAACACCCAAGTTCCACACATTAGAAAAAAAAAAAGAGGCTTAAAATTTTGTTTTGTATTTATAATATTGCAGATGTTCTTCCCTCTTGGCCCGACCTCTGTCGCCATATATGGAGGAATCAGCGCACTGGTGTTCTGTGGATACATAGTCTATGATACCGACAACCTCATCAAGCGTTTCACTTATGACGAATACATCCTCGCGTCAGTGGCTCTCTACTTGGACATCCTCAATCTCTTCTTGACCATATTGCGTATTCTGAGGCAAGGTGACAACTGAAGTAGTCATAAGATGATGCTTCAGTGATGAGATTTATAACCATGCGCAGAACCAAAGACCTTTATATGATTCACAGTTGTGTGCATATCTGACTTATTTGGGAGATTTTAGTATATGATGATGTGGTTAAACGTTTGGTACAACAAGATCAATCAATGTTGAATTTTCAACTTGGAATAAACTTTTGTATATGATGGATGATCGTGGTAAAACATTTAGTGCAACAAGATCAAGCATAGTGTTACACCTTCTGTTTCATCAAAACATTTTCAGACTACAACTAGAAGGCAATCCCATTACATTCCTTTTGAAATTTGCGATGGAAAAACAACAAAGTTTAAAACACCACCACCTGCAACCGGCTTTACCAAACTAATTTAACCAGAAGAAGATATGAAAACCATCACTCAGTCTCGGTCAAACCTTTTTTAAACTAGTACATCTATAGTGTTCTAACAAACTTTCAGTTAGATATGTAGAACTATGAGCCAACCTAAAACTTTAAGACAGCATCACAAACACCTTGTGACTTCAGAAAAATCAGACGTTATAAAATCTAAAACTTGAGTTTTGAAGTGGATGTTAATGTTTAGTCATAAAACATTGAGTCACTTATTTTTTACTCATCATTTATGAATCCGAAAAACCAGCTAAAACTTGTGAAAGACCTTCAGTTTACACCAAACATCAATTAATTTTCCACCATTGACAAGGGATACAACACATCCAATGTAGAGATCCTGGAGAGGGAAGTCATAAGGTCTGCGAAGCCAAGATGGCAAACTCATCTCACATGAAGCAAGAAGTAGAAACTAGTAGACTTACAGATCTTTCTAGTTTCTAGCGATAAGATATAAGCCTTTTCGAAACAAATGCAGATTGTGTAGGAGACAACAAGAAGAGCATAATCGATTCCCCTTCTATATATTCAACACTTGAACCCTTGATATAACAGCTCAAAAGCCTCCAACACGTCCAACCTTTTTTCTTTAAATGAATGTTAAATTATATTCACCAAAACACTGTTTAGATCAAGTGCTTCTTTGTTTATGAAAACAAACTATCTCCTACCTTCTAACTCCTCTCTTGACTACCAAACCAATATGCTAGAATACCCACAAACCTTCCTCCAAAGGCACTTACTAAACACAGTTTGTTTCGTATAATTTTGACTATAAATTTCACAAGGACTTTTAGCAGTGTTGGCTCTTCCCCATGTCCCTCTTGTTTCGTTCTCTCCATATAACATGTTTGGCACAATTAAATGCATATCTGATACAATAGAGCTTTTTTTCCTTCCAGCTTCAGATCAGAAACAATCGCCTGAATAGTGTTCCGATCTGTCATGTAGGAACCTTGCAACATNCGAGACATCCACTGGAGAGATCTTAGGTAGGAAAGTTAGAAGGTTTGAAAAACCAAGAGGCATATGTGTTCTTTTGAGCTGGCAGGCTCATCTCACATGAGGCAAGAGTCTGACGGAACTTTCTAGCGATCAGATATAAGTTTTTTTTGTATTAAATGCAGATTGTGTATGATACACAAAGGGAATGCAGAATCAGATCCTCTTCTGATACATTGAACACTTGGTTCCTTTATATAATTTCTCACCAAAGTCCAATAGCAAACTTAGAATACGTCTTATAACGCTTCAACCTCCCATGGCTAGTGATTCTCTCACACACGTTCACTCGGCCGATGGACACCATTCGGTACAACAGATGATGCCTTAATTTTTTTGAATGCTTGAATATTTTGTTTAGTGACCCTCAAATCACTCCATGAACTTTTGACCTCACTCATATGATACACGAATGATTTTTTGGTAGGTTCATCTTTAAACTGTTCTAGCTAAAGCTGGTATGTTACAGTTCACCAACACAATGTCTTTGTTGCGCCCTAAGCTCACTACACATGTCAGTGTGAGCCCGCACAAGAACTTCACACTAATCTAGGTTCGGCTCTAATATCAATTGTCCTTAACCACCCACGGCTAATGGTCCTTTCACGCCCGCTCACTTAGTTCGTGGGCATCTTTTCATGTGATGGGCATTGCGTTAATTTTTAAGAGGCTTAAAAGTTTTGTTTAATGACTTTACAATCACCACATAACATTCCCTCATGTTTTGGTCTCAATTAGACTATACGGCGAATGATTTTCTAGTTGGTCGTCTATCCTTACACTACTCCATCTAAAACTGAGATGTTACAATTCATTCTCTCAAAGAACTTAACGTCTTCGTTATGCCCCAAAATTGTTACCCATGTTAGTGTGAGTTTCCACAAGCACTCCACACTTGTCTTAGTTTGGTTTTCATACCAACTAGATTTTTGACCCGCGCGTCCTTGCCAATGTAAGTTCTAAATAATTATATGTTTAATAATTATTTGACAGTTTCATATTTTTTGAGTTTTGAGATTAATGTATTTTGTTCAGTTTTTTAGTGTCCAATTATAAAGTATGTTATTGTACAACTTTTCATTTTATTTGCTAATGTAAACATTAAAGTATTAAAATATTATATTATTAAGATAATGTTGTGAGTGTTTTATTAAATTATACTGAATACTTTTTGTTTCAACATAGTTTCAGTCAGATTATAATTATAGAACTAGGTAATAACCCGCGCCTTACACCGAATGAGATTATTATTTTTGTTACTTTAAAGATAAAATTGATATTATGTATGTTTAGCATAGATATTATTTCAATTTTACGTTGTTTTTTAATGTCCTAAAATATAACTATAATTCTCAATCTATATTTATTTTGGGTTGTTTTGTTTAAATATTTGATGTTTTTAATTTTTCGATGATAACCAAAAACTATTGTAATTTGTTTGGTTTCGTTTTATATAATTTTAGACATTTTTTATGTCGAACTAATAGTTTCCTATTATAATTTCTAAATACATGTAAAATCAAATAAAATCTAAATAATATTTGAAGAAAAGAAAGAAAATAAAATTATAAACACAAAACATTTCACTACAATTTGAGCGATAGTGAAAGAAAACATTAAAAAAAATCAACTTCAATAAGAATTAAAATTCTCACTTGTGGTGAATATTTAGTTATATAGTCGCTAATGTGTACATGTATGTATATGTAAAAGTATATAAATGTGATGATAGATATATGAATGTACCATTAATTAAGATTGAACTAAGTGCAAAGCTTGTGACATTGGTGATCAAACTTGATGATTAGTCAAGGATTGATCCCAATGCAAATGTGTTTTATCTTGTTTGGAGTTTGAGTGTTGTTTCAGGGTCACAAAGAGTGTCACTTGTTCAGCATCAATCCGGAACAAAGAAGAAGGTGTTGCCCATGCAGTTCAGAGCCTACACATGATGAGACCAGGNTTTTGACTATAAATTTCACAAGGACTTTTAGCAGTGTTGGCTCTTCCCCATGTCCCTCTTGTTTCGTTCTCTCCATATAACATGTTTGGCACAATTAAATGCATATCTGATACAATAGAGCTTTTTTTCCTTCCAGCTTCAGATCAGAAACAATCGCCTGAATAGTGTTCCGATCTGTCATGTAGGAACCTTGCAACATTCAAAGAACAAGTCCAACCTTTTACCTCAATAGAAAACTTCATAAGCTTCACTTATGATTTTCCTTGCTAATGTTCTTCTAATCTCTATTTTGCTCTGCGTTATAAAAATCTGTTTTTAAGTCTTTGTATAATGACATAAAACAACTCTTTTTAGTTTGTTGAGGTTCAAGCTCTTGGATAAAACACCTTTGAACCTATGAATCTTAACATGCTTAAATGTTATTGCTGATCCACAAAAACAGATCAAAACAGAGTACAAGCAGAGTGAGTGGTTTCTCCAAGAAGCCAGTCTCCAACAAATAGGGAATGGGCCAAAGGAACACGAGACATCCACTGGAGAGATCTTAGGTAGGAAAGTTAGAAGGTTTGAAAAACCAAGAGGCATATGTGTTCTTTTGAGCTGGCAGGCTCATCTCACATGAGGCAAGAGTCTGACGGAACTTTCTAGCGATCAGATATAAGTTTTTTTTGTATTAAATGCAGATTGTGTATGATACACAAAGGGAATGCAGAATCAGATC